GTGGGCCCTAGGAAGCGTTCCCACGAGGGAACCCGCTCTGTACCATGTGAAAACTGAAACGAGAATGAATGACTAAGTGAAAGTTGGGTACAAGTATGAACCCTAGAAAGTTGTACCCCATATGTGCTACCCCACTATAGCCTACAGTAACTATGTCATATAAATCTGACAAATCCCTCGATCTGCGGCAAAGTTGAAACGCAAACCCGAAGGAAGAGCGCGAGTGTAAAACCGGTACAAGACATCGCGTTGGAGACTGGGTTGCTCGCGTAGAAAATCGTGGGAGAAGTCAGGGATGAGAGGAGGAGGGAGTGGGAGGACGTGGATCCAGCGGGTGGCGTGGTCAAGTGGAATCTGAGTGTAGAGGCGGCGACGGATGTCAGCTACACTTGGGCCTCCGTCCTGTAGGATGTTTAGCCGCGCGCCGAGCCCTGCACCTGTATAGAAGGGGCCTGCAAGCCAGGACCCAACGACATGCACCGCGCAGAGGTCACCTATGTTGAAGGTGCCATCTCCCAACGACGAGCGGACGATGAGCCGGTTGGGAAGGACACGGTGAAGGGAGGCTGAGAGCGATGACGGGGGAGAGAAGGCCGTGACCTGGAGAGAAAGAGTGGGGGAGGAATCAGCATCGTCTTTGGGAACGAACCACTCCCCGAGAGTTGCCGAGGGGGGAGGAGGGGAGCAAAGGGCTGACCACCAGGGCTTGGGGATGGCACAGACAAGGTCTCGCCAGACTCTCCGTCCAGCAGAGGAGTTGGCGAGGGGAAACACGGAGGTGAAATGTTTAAAGGAGACCACACCAAGTGAGTGAAAAATAAGTGAGATAAGGTGACCGACACGAATCTGCATGGTTAGGAGGAAACGTTCACGCGACAGAATTCCAAAGGGCTTCCCGTTCAGTTTGAGAATGAAATGGTTGAAGGCGGTAGGCTCAACCATAATACACATAGGGACGAGGCGAGGCGTGGAGATTTCCGGGGAGAATTCTATCACTCCGAGCAATTCGGCGCGCGCTCGACTCGGGACGACCTCTGGAAGAATTCCCGATCTGAGGATAGCAGAGTGCGCTAAGAGACACTGTGTGCCAAAAGGGAGGCAGACGGTGGCTCTCGCCACTTCCTCTGATGGCGTGGCGCCAAAGCGACGAAGCGCACGATGAGTGGCTAGAGTGCGGATTTGGGTGGAAGGAGCGATCGCCCCAAGACCTCCATGTCGGGTGGAATTATACAGGAGGCGATTGGGGATGAGGCGGACCGCAAGGTCGTGTTCTTTGAAACGAGAGGGAGAAAGGAAGTTCCCGACCAGGACATCAAGCCGTTTAATAATGTCTAGAGAGGGGGTTTGAAAGCGGCCAGGGAAAGAGAGAATGGAGTTTAAGAAAACCGACGCAAGTGACTTGTGGCAGGTAGCTGTGGCACGAAGGGCGGCAAGGAACTTAGCCGTACGTTGAACGCGAGAGAGGGTCATGGACCAGGTAGTGGCGTCTGGTTGTGCTTGTTCGACGTAGATACCAAGGATACATTCTGCCTCTTGAGGAGTGCGAATGGGAATGGGGCCAGCAAGGATGATATGTTCTGGAGCAATGAAGAAGGGGATGATTGAGCATTTGTTCCAGTTGGGGTGTTCTCCAGAGACGGCGGCGAAGGTTCGGAGGTGTATGAGTGTGGTTCCAAGCTCTCTGACGGAGGAGAGGAAAATGGTGACGTCATCAGCGTAGAAAGCCATGAGTCGGCGTTGCGTCGTAGAGAGGGGAAACCCCGGAAGGAAGAGGGATAGGTAGCGTTGAAAGATTTCGATGACACACACAAAGAGGAGGGGGGCGAGAGGACATCCTTGTCGTACCCCCGTTCGAACAGGGAAGGTTGGCCCGGCAAGGTTGTTAACAGAGATGCGGGTGGAGGTATTGGTGTGCATCAGGCGGACCCAGGCGATGAAGTGCTCAGGAAGTCCCAACGAAGCAAGCGCTTGGAAGAGAAAGGCGCGATCAACCAAGTCATAGGCCTTGCGGAAGTCAACAGTTAAGGCAAGCAGGGGGGTCGTAGTGGTTGTGCTCCAGTCAAATATGTTGAGTGTGTCATTGATCGTGTCACCATCTTCCTGTTTTTAATAAAGGCGGTCACAGAGGGGTGGATAATCAGAGGTAGAGAGATCTGCAGCCGGTTGGCAAGGCAGAGGGCTAGTACCTTATAGTCCGAGTTCATGAGGGTAATAGGGCGGAGGTTTTCTACCAAGGAGGAATTTCCCCTCTTAGGAATTCGGACGGTGCGGCCTGAAAGCATGGACGACAGTAGGGAGGCGGCAGTGAGCGGTGAGGAGAAAAGCGAGAAGAAGGCAGGAGCAAAACGGGTCTTATATTGTCGGAAAAGCTCGCTCGGGATGCCGTCAGGGCCGGGGGTTTTGCCGCGAGATAGTTGCCCTATGGCCTGGTTCATTTCCAGAAGGGAGAAGGGAGCTTTCAAATGGTTGATGAGACGGGTAGGGAGTGAAGACGGGGGGATGTGTGCCCAGAAGGCGGGGTTTGGCAGACCCGGGGTTGCTCTGTTGTAGAGGGACTGGAAAAATCTTGTGCATTCAGCAGTCATGGCGTGGAGGTCAGAGGTGGATTGTCCATCTGGAGGTATAAGCAAGGAGATTAGTGAGTCTTTGATGCGGGAGTTGAGGCCTGCCAGCAAGGAGGAGGTACCCATCTCCCTGTGGCCCTCGACTTTGAGCTTAGCTTTAAGAGCGACCTCAGCTGTTTTAGATGCCTCGTATCTTGTTAGTTGTAGGCGGGTTTTGAGGAGAAGTGCGGCTGCTTCATTGTCCAGAGGGGAGAGGGCGGATTGGAGTTGCAGGCGGCTGATGAGTTGTACGAGGTGGTCAATAGTGCCTGCGACTTGTTTGCACTCTTGATTTGAGAAACGCTTAAGGTTAAGGGTGAGGGCCAGTTTCCATGAATCCCATGCCTTTGGGGAGGGGCGTGAAGGCAAGGTGGGGAGGTGAGAGTCGATAATGGCAGCGACTTGGGGCCGGTGGAGGAGGAAGGAGCTGAAACGCCATGGTCGCAGTGCCATGGCCGGGTTGTCGAATGTGAGGGTGCATATGGGGGCAAAGGAGTGATCAGAGACGTCGTCCGGGGTCCAGAGGTAGGAGGAATTAGAAGTCCGTGGGAGGAATGAGCTAGAGAGGTAGATTCTGTCTAGTCTAGAGAAGGGCGGGAGAGCAGTACCGGCAGTAATCCGGCGGCCAATGAAGGAGGAAACCGGGGTGACAGGGTGGAGTGAGCGGTACGTGTCGGACAAAGCGTGCGTCAGCAGAATATTTGACACCATGGTGTCCTCGCTGAGTTCATGGCCAAGTAACGGACGGTTACGGTCTAAAGGGGAGATGACCGAGTTGAAGTCACCGGGGAGGATCGTGGCTGCTGCAGCAGTAGGTTGTTCCAATGCAGGTGTCAGAATGGATCTCCACCAGATCCGTCTGTCAGTGGCATGATACGGTGCATAGAGAGCGAGGAGGCGTAGTTGCTCATGCAAGAAGTTGACATGAACGGATAGGAGACGACCATCAACAGAGGGGGACGGGGAGGTAAGGGAAATTGCTCGATTGAATGATAGAATTGAGATGCCGCCAGGTTGCGGGCATGGTTGGCCATTTACATTCAGCGCGTATAGGGTGGGTGCATGAGCTGAAGAATGTGGGCGAAGTTGCAGTGAAAGTCTAGGTAGGTTTTTAGCGAGGCGAGTGTCCACTAAGATAAGAATATCAGTGCGCGGAAATGTGGTGGAGAGCCAATGTTTCAAGGCATTTCGTTTGACCGGGGTATTGATACCATTGATGTTGAGGCAACGAATTCGAAGGGGTGTTAACATGCTACTAGGTGGAGGCCCACCAAGAGGGTGCGTGGATCCACGGGCGGATGCACTTGTAGGTGAAAGTAGGAAGAAGTTGGTGGCAGTGGGAAAAAGAATTTGCAACAATTACATTCTGAGGGTATATATTAGTGATTGAATGTTGTGTGGCTAGTGTTGGTGAGGTTACGACTAACAAGAACGCCTTCTTTTTGGGGTGGGTGCGATGCAATGTAGGAGGGGGCACTTTGAGTCCAACCAATGGCAAGGGAATATTACCACACATAAACGTACGGTATATTCACCAGATAAGCAAGGAGGTACAGGGTAAAGACAAGGTGAGCAGCTAAAAGTAAACAGCCAGAGGGGAGCCCATCCAGGTGACAGTGCAGCAAGGGACGTTGAGCAGAGCAATCAATCGGTTAGACGGCCAGCTATGGCAAGAGCAAGGCATACTAGTCGTTGAGGTTATAGGCGGAGGGCGAGGGCCCTCTCTGATCTGCCATTTGTCTTGGTAGACAGGATGAGTTTGGCAGTTTCCAGGCAGGCAGCGTGGCAGGCAGAACGGGCAGGGCAGCAGGGGAGGTAACAGAGGGGGTGACAGGAGTGGTCCAACTCTACCACAGGTCGGAGGCTTTTGAGGCTGCGGAGGAAGCGGCCGGCAGGCATGGCTACCAGAGGGCCTGGGGTGGAGCCAGAGGTGCAGGTGGGGGAGCGATCGAGAAAGGGAGGCAAGGGGGCAGCAGAGCAGCGGGGCCTCATGGGGGGTGGGGTCAAGGGGAGACCAGCCAGGGAATACGGTCGCCCACGAAAACGACCAAACAAAAGGGGAGGAACTGTGAGCCCAAGCGCAGACGGGAAGTGAGGAGATGGGTGGAAGGGGTTGGGGAAGGCACAGAGAAACACGAAAGGGTACGGCGCAACGAAGGCGAAGGTGAAGCGAGAGCAAGAACAAAAGCGGCAGGGTAGGGGAACCAGATGGGTGGGGGGGTGAACCGAAGGGGAGGGGATTTGGTAAAGGAAGGCGATGACGGAGGCGCAAGGCCGCTCCAACGCCGGCTGAAATGCGGCATGTCAGGCTGGTCGTAGGGCAGCGAGAAGGAGCAGACCGTTGGGGCCGAGCATGAGCACCGAGACGAGCGCGGTGCGGCTTCTTCACTGCCGTCATCACAACAGGCGGGAGGGGATGAGGGGGGGATAGGCGGGCATGAGAAAGGAGGGCAAAAGCATGAACCAGCCAGGGGGGGCGAGGGGGATGGCAAGTGAGTGAAGACGAGTGGGAGGATCAAAATGGGAGGGGCGGGCGGGATCGCGCAGCGGCGAAAACGGGGATAAAATCGTGAGAGGAAGCGAGCTGTAGCAGGGCACGGCAAGGTAAAAGGAAAGAGAGGGAAAGGGTGCACGGGTGGTAAACTGAGAGTGGGGAAGCACAGGCCTAGGCGGCCAAAGCATTCTAACGAAGTTGACTGGGAGCCTAGGGGGCTTCCCGAGTCAGAACGCCATGCAAGAGCAATGGCACGTCGAGGTGACGGGGGCCCAGGTGGCCACAGGGGATAACGAGCAGGCGAGCAGGGCAATGGTATCCGAAACACAGGCAACACGGTTTTGTGCCAGGGAGGGGGCGAATCGGTCGGCGTAGGTGGGAGAATAGGCGGCTGGGACAGACATGAGAGATAAAAAACGGAGCGAAGTGACGGCTGGGATGCAAACCTAAAAAACCAGCCGCGCGAGGGGTAAACCGTGCATCGAAACAGACGTAGGACGAAACACCGTACTAAGCTGGAGGCCGGGACGTAACCAGGATTACGAACCGAGCACGCAGGGAAACGGGCGGAGCAAGGAGCTGGGCAGAGGAAACGAAAACGCCGAAGGGAAAGGCATCGGTCGCGAGACCGTTTAAAGGCGTGAAAGGACCAATAAAAAGGACCAGGTTGCCCGCAAATCTGCCGACAGAAAAAGGCGAAGGCATGACGAGTTAGGTGAGGAAGATACTGCAGCTGAAAAGGAAAGCATGAGAGTGGAGTGGCGAGTATACGAAAGGAGCTGTAATGTCCGCGGGAACACCTGCATGGCCACGAGATGTTAGGGAAAACAAGAAATAGTAGCGAAAAATAAAGTAGCGGGAACCTAAAAACGGCGTACTTACCGTGAACCGAGGCGCTGTCGAGGAGGGGGAACCGGCTAACGAAAGCCATGGTTTGACGAACGCTGGCCTGACAGGACGGGAAGTTAACGCCCGGTTTCCCGGGTGGAGCTACGCTAGGGTTTCGTGGCATGCCAGGTCTACTCCAATAGACGCCCTAGTTCTACTATCCAGCCTTGGGGCTTCCCTCCTGGAATGTGTGAAGAGGGCTGGAACAACTGTAGAACACGACGACCAGGGATAGGGGCCGTTAGTAGAACCTCACTCGAATGTATGGCCCTGTTCGATAGCGAGGGTGACCCATGCCAGAAAACATTGAGGTGACCTTGTTCCTTGGGCGGGAAACGGTTTGCGACCTCATGCGATGGTGCATAATTCCCGCCAGCGCGAACGACCCCCCTGCGATCTCCACGGTTTCCCGCCCATCTGCTAAAAGTTGGCGGGAATCTTGACGAGGTACTTTGACACCACAGCGCGCATGAACAGTAACTCTCGCCTAATGATTACAGCCCCTCCCTGGTAAAACACCAGACCATTGTCGGACCATTGCCAAAGTTGTTTTTCAACTAAATCGCTTCACTGCCAGACCAATGGGCTATTTAGGGGTAGTCTAATCTAGCGGTTTCCCTATCTCTAACTGCCCAAAAGCAGGGTAAAGAAAAACAGAGCATGCCCGGTCGAATCTGAGCCTTTTGACTCTTGAGACTTGCACATTTCGCAGCTTCGTACTACTTCGCGATTTGTGGAGTCCAGTGCCTTAGCGACATACAGCGAATTAGGAAGTGTGTTTTGCGAATTAGGGTTTCCTTGCAGAGATGTTCTACGTGGATGGTTTTTTTTTTCCCCTACATCCAGCGGTATTTTGTTTTTCGGTTTTTTCCGCCTTCACCTGTCAACTTTGGGGGAACCCTCGTCCGCTTCAATGGGCCGTTAGGGTGGAGCTTTTCGACACCCTGCACGGTTGAGTTCGGTGAAACAGGTCGGCGTTGGGACGGCCAAATAATTACACTGCCGGCCCAGAGGCCCCACTTGCACTTTGTCGCGACCCTCAACCATTTGGGCGACAGGGCCATTCCAAACGGTTGCATCCTGGAAGCCGAACGCTCTGCATGCGCCCCGGAATTACCCAGTAAAGTACGATAGCGAAGGTGAACTGGACGGAAAAACTTTGAGGTGACCTTGTTTGTTGGCCGGGAAACTGTTTGCGACGCTTGCGACTTCCATGCGACGAGATAAAATTCCCGCCAACGCGAACGACCCCCCTGCGATGAGACGAGTTTCCCGCTTTTGTGAACGAAACCCCCCTGCGATGAGACGAATTTCAGGCCCACGCGGGAAATTAAGGCGGGAAGTTCAGACGGGGTAGTTTGACACCACAGCGCGCAAAAACAGTGACTGCCGCGAAATGATTACGGCATCTACACCCCTTATCTCTCGCAAAACTCTAGACCATTGGGTGGTCATTGCCAATGTTAATTTTGAAATGAGTGGCCCTGTTACGGGTGCAATGAATCAAAGTAGTGAGAACTGCACTAAGGGTGCATTCCGCGATGGACATGTCCCAATCGAAAGTGTCTCAATTGTTTCTACCGCACTACATCGTATTACACCAAATTGCACCCTAGTTTCAAAATTTTCGCGTCTCTAGTTTAGTTCGGTTCGAAGTGGTACACTCGATCGGGACACATCGATTGGGACAGTGCCCACAGTGGAATGTTCCCTAAGGTGTCAGACGAGAACAAAATATGAGCGAAGGCATGGGCGAACATTTATACGCGAAACATGCAAACGTCAATGCGGTGCGTGCGAGCTAGCTAGTGCTATGCTTGAAGCGAGGCTCGGGCTAGTCCCGAAGCGTAGGCCGACACGGCCAGGCCAGCAGTGCGAGGTTTGGTGAAACAGTGCGCGCGAAATCGGGGAAGCCCCGTTAGCAGTAACGGGCGAAGAACGGCTGCTGCTGTACGCGATGTTGCAGGGCGCGCTAAGGAATATCGAGAAAATTCCTTACACTAGCCCCCCCCTCTCAAGAAGCCCCCTCCGCTACCCGAGTGCGTGTGTATCACGGAAACCCCGGCTCCTCAGGAACACTTGCAGGGCAGGGGCACCCAGCTATCTTCAGTTGGCGTGCGATCCTTCCAGCGAACGAGGAATTCAATCCTCCTTATTCCCGTGGGGTGTCGAATCCGATGGCTCATGATTTTTTTGGGTTCGATGATCGGCTCCGATGTAGGGCGAGTCACGGATGGCGGGCGGTGACGAGGCAGTTGGCTTGTGGTTAGGATGTATGGGCGAAGCAGGTTGACGTGGAACGAAGGGCTGATGTACCAGTCCGTCGGCAACAGTAGGTGGGCTGTCACTGGGGTAATCATGTGGCTGAACTAGAATGGTCCACAGTAGTGAGAAAACTAGAACGAGAATGAATCAACTATGAATGAAGTGAGTACATATAGGAAACCCTGATTGGGTTGTACCCCCTATGTGATACCCCACTCTAGTCTACACAAATATATATAAGCTATATTGTTCTGACACATCCCCATAGGCAAAGTGGGGGAGAACAAGGGGTCACAAGACCAGTCAAGCAAAGCAAAGCAAAGCTCAGGGTGGATCACAAAGTCACCACACATTCCGAGCACAAGTTCAAAGGCCAGAAGGCCAGTTCACATGCAAGATCACATATATAGATATACAAGAGTCTAAGAAAGCAAGAGCAAGAGTATATATATGTGAAAGTACAAGCAAGGTCAAGAAGTGAGCAAGTGAGGCAAGACAGGCACAAGACCCAGCTGCGTGCAGAAGCGCTGATGATCACAAGGCGCAAGTGCCTTGGTGAAGAAATCAGCAGTGTTGGCCTCAGAGGCCACGTACGCAAGCCGCAACTGTCCACGCTGCTGTAGCTCACGAGCAAGAAAGTAGCGGAGAGCAATGTGCTTTGTCCTGTGCTCCAGTCGCTGCTCTCGACACAACGCCAGCATGGCCTTGTTGTCTACGTACAGGACTGGAGGAGAACGAGGTGGCTCTCCAAGGTCGGTCAGCAGGTAGGTGAGCCAGCGAAGCTCCTGGGCAGCCATAGCCCCGGCGTAGATCTCAGCCTCACAACTGGAGCCGAGAACAGAAGACGAGCGGGTAGCCCGCCACGAAACAGAGCCAGAACCAAGACTGAAGGTGTAACCCTGTGACGACTGCTGCGTAGCCTGGTCGTCAGCCCAAGAAGCGTCCGCATGCCCAGTGAGGACCACTGGACTCCGCCCTCCAAGCACTAGCCCCATGCCCGACGTACTGCACAAGTAGCGCAACACCCTCTTCGCTGCAGCCATGTGCTCTGGTCGGTGTCTCCCAGGAGCAACATAGCGTGCGAGAATGCTAAGAGGGTATGCAAGGTCAGATCGAGTGCAGCTCATCAGGTACATGAGGCAGCCAACAAGCTCTGGATATGGGCCACTCGACTCTACGGACTCATCCGAAGGCAGAGCTGAGAGCGAGTGGCGAGTAGGCAGAGGAGTGGCCTGAGGCGAGGAGTACGTGAAGCCGAAGCGCTGAAGGACCTGCTGCACCATGTGTGACTGAGTCAGGGTAATGGTGCGGCGTGCTCCGTCCCGGGTGATCTGCAAGCCAAGGTAGCTGCGCAGTTCACCCAGGTCAGTGCACGTGTGTCTCTTCTGGAGCTCGGACTTCACGTAGGCGAGTCCAGCAGTGTCAGCTGTGGCAAAGACCAAGTCGTCGACGTACACGAGGATGTAGAACGGCGGCAGAGAGGTGTCGGTGCGCAGAAACAACGACGGGTCTGCAGTGGAAGGAGCAAACCCAAGTGCCGCCAGCGTAGTCCTCAGTGTGTCGTGCCACTCACGCGGTGCCTGGCGGAGACCGTAGACTGGACGCCGGAGACTCCACTGGGTACCACAAGGGAAAGACCCAGTGAAGCCAGGTGGGCGGCGCAGCCAGATCTCCTCGTGCAGGCTGCCCTGCAAGAAAGCTGTGCTGAAGTCGAGAGAGTGCAGCTCATAGTCACGGTGAGCAGCAACGTGCAGCAGTACCCAAAGAGTGGTCATCTTCGGGGTGGGGGAGAAGGTCTGAAAGTAGTCAACTCCCTGCCGCTGACTGAAGCCACGAGCCACGTAACGCGCCTTGAAGACAGGCGGAGAACCCGGCGGCCGCTTCACCCTGAAGATCCACATGCCACTAACTATGTTCGCCCGAGGAGGGGGGACAGCGTCAACGTAGGTGCCTGTGGACTTCCAGGAAGCCATCTCTGCATCCATAGCTGCCTGCCACTGAGAGGAGTAGGGACCCTCTATCGCCTCCGCGTAAGAGCGCGGAGTCGGGATGTCAAGTGCATCCGGGTCTCCCTCAGGGGTGAGCAGTACGGACACGAGATGAGGTGAAGCGGCGGCCTGACACTGGAACTCCTCCTTCCTGTCCTCAAGGACGTCCGTGCCAAGGGCAAACTCACCCCCGACGGACAGAGGACAGGCAGACTCAGACTCAGCGACAAGACTAGCAGCGTAGTCTAGACGACAGCGAGCAGCAAAGTCGACGAGCTCAGTAACAAGGGCAGACGCAGCAGTAGACTCGAAAGAAGGGTCAGTGACGGCAGTAGCAAGGAGACGCGTGACAATAGAACTGGCAGCACGAAGAGAGTCTGACTCCGGGTCGGCAAGAGCAGGAAGAGAGGAAGCAGGAGGAGAAGGCAAAGGGGCACGCAGAGGAGCAGTAGACGGACGCAGAGACATCCTGTGCGTGCTAGGGACAGGAGGAGGACGCTGACGCAAACCGCGACCACCAGTGCGCGCAGCACGAACAGGCGACGCAGGACGAGACGCAGGCTCAGGACGCTCAGTAAGACCTCCAGTCGGACCAGCGTAGGGAGAAGGAGCAGGCAAAGGGGAGGCAGGCTGTAGCTGTGACTGTGACTGGACAGGCTGTGGACCATCTAAGGGAGGAGGAGGAGGACCAGGAGAAGGTGTAAGACCAAGAACCTGCTGTAGGAGTGGAACGAAGTACGGTCAGGGCCGCGTGGCGATGCCAGAAACAGCAGGGACAGAACCAGTACCCCTAGCAGGAGTACCCGCTCCAGCATCACCTCCACCAGCACCTCCAGTAGCTCCAGAACCTCCAGCAGCACCGGGAGCACCG